TCACCGAAAGAGGAAGGCCAATGTAGAGGGCGTTACAGTAGTCCAGTCTTGAGATGACCGTAGCCTGGATCACTGTAGCTAGGTCATCCCTGGACAGGGAGGGGGCCAGCCGTCTAGCCTGCCGCAGGTGAAAAAAGGCGGTTCTGCTAAAGGCGGAGACCTGGGCCTCCATCCTCAGCAGAGTATCCAAAAGGACTCCCAGACTCTACCAACAATTATGGGCATAGCGCCTCGCCATCCAGGGTAGGCAGCTGGATGTCTCCACTGTCCTCCGTGACATCCTGACTGAATCATCCTGGCTGCCTCAATTCTCTCTCTGTGACATTTCGAAGCCAGCAGAGGCGCTGGAAACCTTATATTGGAACTTGTGAAGCAACAAGCTCTAATAAGGAAGCTGAGAAGAGGGGGAGATGGGCAGGAAAGGTGTATAAAAGGAAGTGGTGGTGGGAAAAAGTCCGTAGTGTCTTTCTTTGCTGCAGAGATGCAAGCAATATATCCATTTCCAAGCAAAACCGGCTTGTGAGTGGTTATTTAATATTGCTATATAGATCCTACAGTCTTACATAATGTTATATTTGTTTATGGTTGTGTTTTTGTTATGTTTGTTTATGTTTATGTTATGTTTGTTAATGATTATGTTTGTGCTTATGTTTATGTTTGTTTACAATTATGTTTTGGTATGTTTTTGTTTCGTTATACCCCACTTTTACTCTGGGCTGCATATTCACTGTAGAGTTAATGTGCTTTGACGCTACTTCAACCCCCATGGCACCTGGAAGTTGCTGTTTTCCATTCTCTTTAGCCTTCCCTGCCCAAGACCAATCCAAGGATTCAATAACATTGAGCCATCGCAGTGATAGTGACGTCAAACTGCATGAAATCTACAGTGTAGACACACCGAGAAAGGGAGTGAATGGACTGGCACAGGCATCCAACCTCCCGTGATATATGTTGTTCGTAACTGTGTCTGTGGGCCTCTTCCTGATCCACTCCAGAGCAGGACTTTCTCCACACCATCCAAAGCCATAGCTCTATCCCAGTATGGGAGCATGACTATTTTTGAACTTCAACTCCCAGCATCCCCTGGTCTGAAGCTTGTCCCCCTTTTACTAACCCTTAGGAGGAGCTGGTCAGCAACACGGAGCTGGTGCAAAGCTACCGCCAGCAGATCGGGAGCATGGTCAACCAGTTCAACCTCCAGCTCTTCTGGAACATGTACAACAGGTGAGCCTACAGAACTCACCGCCACTAGACATAGATTGATAGATTGATTGATAGATTGATAGATTGATAGATTGATAGATTGATAGATTGATAGATTGATAGATTGATAGATTGATAGATTGATAGATTGATAGATAGGAGGCCATCCAACCTCTGCTTAACAACAACAGCAACAACAACAACAGAATCCTAGAGTGGGAAGGGACCCCTAAAGACCATCCAGTCCATCCCTGTACTTTCTGACAGGTGGAAAAGAACAATTCAATACATCCCGACAGTTGGCCATCCAACCTCTGCTTAATAATAATAATAATAATAATAATAGTAATTCTGTAGTGGGAAAGGATCCCCAATGTCCATCCAGTCCATCCATCTTTTCCCAGGTAGGAAGGCACCCTCTGATCCCTCTTGACAGATGGCCATCCAGCCTCTGCTTAATAATAATAACAACAACAATAACAACAACAACAATAATAGAATCCTAAAGTGGGAAGGGACTCCCAAAGGCCATCCAGTCCATCCCTCTTCTGCTAGGTAGGAAGGCACCCTCCGATCCCTCTAGACAGATGGCCATCCAGCCTCTGCTTAACAACAACAAGAACAACACCACCAAGAGAATCCTATAGTGGGAAGGGACTCCCAAAGGTCATCCAGTCCATCCCTCTTCTGTCAGGCAGGAAGGCAAAATCCGATCCCTCCCAACAGATGGCCATCCAGCCTCTGCTTAACAACAACAACAACACCAACTACAGCAATAGAATCCTGTAGTGGGAAGGGACTCCCAAAGGCCATCCCTCTTCTGCCAGGTAGGAAGGCACCCTTCGATCCTTCTCGACAGATGGCCATCTAGCCTCTGCTCAATAATAATAATAATAATAATAATAATAATAAATAATAATAATAATAGAATCCTGTAGTGGGAAGGGACCCCCAAAGGCTATCCAGTCCATCCCTCTTCTATCAGGTAGGAAGGCACCTTCTGATCCCTCCCGACAGATGACCATCCAGCCTCTGCTTTGACAATCTCAAGGGAAGGGATCCCAGAGCAATCTATGTATGTACTTTATTAGAGTTGATAGTAATAATAATAATAATCATAATCATAATCATAATAATTACTAGCATCCACTCTGGTTTAATCCCTGCTCTTCTTTCAGCCGCAGAGACCTGGACATCAACCGGCCCGGCAGCGTCCCCAATGCCAAAACGCTCCGGTAGGTCACCATAGGTGAGGGTTCAAGGGCCAAAGTGGGGAGCGATGGGCTTTGCAGCCCCCTCCTGACCCTGTCCTTCTCTGCTTGGGGTCTGCAGGTGCCCCGTGATGCTGGTGGTGGGAGACAACGCGCCGGCTGAAGATGGTGTGGTGAGTCCCGACTGCAACGTCCAGAAGCCCCCAACCCCCGCGAGCCCAACAAAGCCCATCCAAGTGCATGCTTCCTGCTCTGAAATGTATTCCTTTGATGTTTGTAGGTCGAATGCAACTCCAAGCTGGACCCAACTACCACCACGTTCCTGAAGGTAAGATGCAGAGGCGACTGAGTCCCTGCTTTTAGGAATTGGCCAAGCCCCTTCCTCTATTATTATTAATAATAATAATAATGAAGTCGATAGGAACTTCAGAAGGGTCTACCCCAGGAGGAGAGACCCTGTGGCCCCACCAAAGAGGGATCGCTACATTGGTGAGCAAAGAGAAGCCTAATTTTAAGCAATTTATTTTCCCTAAGTTCCCAAAAAGAATCTCACCAAAGTTGAAGAAAGTGCCACCGAGATGATTTATTAGCGATTCAGCTGAAAAGGATGCAAAGCGGCAATCATTCGCCAAGCTAAGCATGCGTGTACAGAAATAAATGGCATTTTTATAGAAAATACAGAGTGGTGTGGTTCAAAATTCCCGCTCCCCACCCCTCGCCTGGCTCAATGGTGATTGGCTGGCGCGCAAACAGCTGGGAGGAGGCTTGGCCATCCCCTGCGCACCTGGGCCAATCACAGGGCTTCCACGGTGCGCCAGAGCCAATCAGAAGACTCCTGCTGCCTCAGCGCTCCAGCGAATCAGAAGGGAGTTAGGCGGGACGAAGGAAAACAATGCATTCTTGAATGGATTATGAAGTTACAGGAAATGTCCTAACAAGTCCGAACCAGCCTTTGAGAAAAGCCAAATTATTGCCTTATGATGGGTCTGAGATAAGCATTGATCACTTAATCCGGGTTTTCCTCTTGCGGTTGGATAGGGGCACAAAGGGGGGACTTTGGTGAATGTCTTTAATGAAAAAGGCTTGAAAGAAAACGGGTTGGGAGGAAGAAGACTTTCCAAAGGTCATTTTACCTCCCATTGTAATGTGATTTAAAAGTCTGCCAAGTGATTATCCTCTTGATGGTCAGCCTCCGAAGTCAAGGAGATATTCCTTTGTTATTTTTCCATGCAAGAAATGTTCTAAGATAAGGGTTTCCACAATCGCTAATTGTCTCTTCAGAGGCAGGGCTACTTCCTTATACATTTTTCCAACAAAGGGAAGGGGGCAAAAGGGTCAGGAGAAGGTTACATATACAGGAGAAAATATGAAAATATAGAAATCATAATACAGAGAGTAAACCCAACTACCTTCCCCCAGTGTCCATAGTTCATATTATTCATAGGAAGGTCCATAAAGGGAAATATATCCATGGGGGGAAAGAGAGTCCCTTGTTTGTGAGATGGGGGACCATCAGGAGCCCAGGTGTGTCTCGGATGGAAAAAGTCAAATACTTTTGTGGCATGATTTTCAGTAATAAATTGGTTACCTTCTGCTATAAACATATGAAAATAGGGCACAAAGCCTTGATTAAATGATACACACCAAACTGACCAAGGCTTAACCCTTATTATCCAGCCTCGTGTCCTTGCCCTTAGCAAAACTATAAGTTACTAGCTGTACCCTGCCACGCGTTGCTGTGGCCTATAGTAAGAATTTTCGAAGTAGAGGTAGATATCTGGACTGTTATGAAAGAGAGGCACCTACCTATTCCTTCCCCTCTTTTTCTTCCCCTTCCCCTTTCTCTCCTTTCTTCCTTCTCTACCTCTTTCTTTCATTCCTTATTTCACTTCTTTGGTTTCATCCTTCCTCCTCTCTTTCCTTCCTTCCCTCCCCCTTTCTCTACTTCTTCCTTTGTCTCATGTCTTCCTTCACTGTTTTCTTGCTTCTTTCACTTTTTATTTCCTTTTCCCTTCCTTCCTTCTTTACCTCTTTCCTGCCTTTCCTTTCATTTCTACTTTTTCCTTCTTCCTTCCTTCTTCCTTCCTTCGGTACCTCTTTCTTTCCTTCCTTCTCTCCTTCCTTCCCTCCTTCCCTCCCTACTTCTCTTCTGTCTGGTAGAGTCCCTTCTAACTCTATTCTAGGAGTCTATTTAATATATTTAGTATATTTAGTCTATTTAATATATTTAGTATATTTAATATATTTAATATATTTAGGGGCGGGGCTTACTGGAGCCCCTTGATGGCGGCACCCAAGGGGAGAGCTGAAGACAGAGGAAGAAGGGAAGGAGGAATGATAGAAGGGAGGGAGGAGAAGGAAAGAGGGGAAGGATGAGGGGAAAAGGGAGGGAGGAGAGGAGGCAAGAAAGGCATGAAGGGAGAAAATGGGGGAAGAGAGAAGGAAGGGAGAGAAGGAGGAGGGAGAGAGCCAAGGCTGACTCCAGGCCGTTGCCGGCACAGGCTCCGCCACGTGGAGCTCTCCTGTGTGTGCGAGCATGCGTGCACCCCAACCCCCGTCCCAGTACGCATGCCCAGTGGTATCTTCTCCTTTTTTAGGATTTGTAAGTTCTTTTTTTGTTTTTTATTATTGATGGTCACACCTTGTATGGTGAGAGTTTTGTTGCCAAATTTGGTGGGTATTGGCCCAGCGGTTCTTTTGTTTTTAAGCCACTCATTACGACATGAGCATTTATATATATAGACTATCTCTAATTCTCGACTTCAATAATAATAATATCCCACTTTTCTCTAGTATGTTTATCTTAGAAGTACCTGACCCTTTGTGCCTTTTTCTCCATAGATGGCTGATTCAGGAGGGCTCCCCCAAGTCACACAGGTGAGCCCGTTGGTTTACTAACAACAACAACAACAACAACGAAAGGCGGGTAATAAATACATTTATGTGACCCTCTTTTTTTTGCCTTGATCAGCCCGGCAAACTGACCGAAGCTTTCAAGTACTTCCTCCAAGGCATGGGATACAGTAAGTATTTGTGGTCAAGGGAACCTATATGGGGGGGATGTGCCTGTGGGTGGAAGCAAGGCACATATGTG